GTGGAGGGGGTCAATGGTGGGAAAAGGAGGGACATCTGTAATACTTTCAACAATAAAGATAAATTTAAAAAACAAAAAACATCAGAAAGGCCAAGAGCTGTCATAAGATCACATGCTATAGAATATAATTCAGTGCCTTAATTTTGTACACAAGGAAAACATTTATAAAACAGCCTAATGGTTTGTTATTTTTGAGATGATTTCCTTTTCAGAGTTTTCAGGTGCAATTGCAGTCATTTTTGAGTTATTAACATGCAAAACTGAATGTTAAAAAAATGCATTTGTAGTTGGTGATAGGGGAAAGATGTAACTTGCTTTTAAATTTCAATTCAGAGTTGAAATATGTGAAAATTGTCATCTAGAACCATGGTTTTTGAGTGGGGGGAAAAATCCCATATAAATTAGAGTAATTATCAAAGGAAATACACACATATTTTAATAGCAATTTAAGAAAAATTTAAATATGAAAATTGATGTAAATGTATTTGACCACATGTATTGTGGTTGCAGCATCTTTATCTTGATGCTTTTCTGTTGGCATCTTTTAGAAATCATTAAAAATATCTCTGAACGACTGGATCTGTTCTATTAAACCAGGAAAGAAATTCATTATGCCTGTACTGTATTTTTGAACAAACAAAAGAGTTTATCATTTCAAGCAATTAAGTGAATTTGGCCTCTGATCTTGTTGAAGTCACAATATCTTTTAGATCATGTTATCAGGATGCTGAGTTTCTCTTATGTTTTTTTCTCTTTCATTGCTGCCTTCTGATGTGGCTGCTGTGCTGACAACCCTCTCTACTTCCGCTGCTGAAATTTCTTGTTCGCATCATTAAGGAAACCTCCCAAGGTAAGCACTGTTATGCAGTTTGGCATGCATACTGGCGAAGTGTGTAAAGATCCAGGATTTTATCCGTTACAGTAACCCATGTGGAACGCCTGTCCCCTTGAGAAGAAAAATTTCTAATGTAAAACTTAAACTGTGAACAAACAATTAATGTTGGTAGTGATATAAAATTAGACTGAAACTCCTCTGCATGTACAAAGAAGTTTCATAGATTTCATTCCTGGCATTAATGCTCTGGTCCTATCAGGTTACTGCTTCTGTGTGATTAACGATGAAATGAGGCTCAGAGAGATAACGCAGCATGTCCTGATTCCCAGATTGAGAAGATGGGGGAGCTGGGACTGTCCAGTATCACCACCTAGGAAATGGAAGGATGAACGAGTAACATCACAGGATGATAGCGTGTAACTGTGGTTATTTTGACTGGACCAGCTGTGTTTTCTGTGCCCTCCTTGGAATAGTTGATATCNCGTGTAACTGTGGTTATTGACTGGACCAGCTGTGTTTTCTGTGCCCTCCTTGGAATAGTTGATATCATCAGAAAAATTCTCCCAACTTTTACATAGAGCTTCAGCCATCCGCCGGCTCTGTGCTCCACTGGAATTTCTAGCCAATCACAAGAGTCTGCTAATTGGCGCCATCCCCCTTGCTCTGGCCCGCCTTTAATGGCATGTTTACCAGTGAGAAGCCCAAAAGTTAGACAGTCGGTGGGGAAAAAGAATATGAGAAGCAGGGGATCTGAATGACCAACTCCTAAATAATTGAAAGCTGATTTTCTTATCAGTGAGCATTTTATTGGGTATCAAAGGGACACTTAGTGCCAAAAGGAAGGAGAAATCCGACTAGCCCCTGACCAGTGATACTGGTTAAAGCTTTTGTTTCGGAGATGCGATCAAGACAGGCTACACCCACACACATTATAAGGTCAGAATCTAAGATGTGTTGGGTGAGGGTAAGGAATCCAGAATAGATTAGGCTTGCTTGACTCTGTGGTTATGAGGGACAGTATAATTTAGCTTTCGGAGTAAGGAAAGCCACTAAAATGCTAAATGCTACCCTTCATGTTTATCGAAGGCAGGGTAGGAATTGTCCTTGGCATTGAGAGTTTCCAGCAGGGAAGGCAAGCATTGGACAAATACTATGAGATCTGTTAAGAAAGAAGACATATATGCTGTTACAGGAGTGGAAGCACCGGAATCCCAGCCAAATTTGGAGGATTAAGTTCTCTGAGCAGCTATTGATGTGGATATAGTCCCTAAAGTTTGCAACCCGAATAGTATCTCTGCCACTTGGAAAGTTCCCCTTAAGTAGCTCTTCTTTCCGTTGCTGTTCATTCCTAGAGGTTTCTGAATGGACTATCAACCTTGTGAGATATTTAATTCTTTCCCCCTGAAAAAGGCAATGAAATCCTAAGCAATTCCATATGTGGCTACTTAGTGAAGGAGAAACACTGAAATGAGAAGAGGCATAAAACTACATTTTTAAAAAATCACTAATTCTTTATACACAGAAATGTTCTGGTTCCTTTCTATCCAGTGTGTATATAGCTTAGTGGTTTTACTAGGTATCCATTCTATTGATAGTTTCTAAGAAGTGTCATGAAATTTTCAAAATAAAGTGAATGTTAAATCATCACACGTGTGTGTGTGTGTGTGTGTGTGTGTATGCCATAAAGAACATCTGGAAAGTATAAAGACCGTCTTGAAATCAAATAAGTGACACAATAGAGTTAAATTGTTTTAAAAGACAGTAAAATAGATNGTGTGTGCGCCATAAAGAACATCTGGAAAGTATAAAGACCGTCTTGAAATCAAATAAGTGACACAATAGAGTTAAATTGTTTTAAAAGACAGTAAAATAGATAAGGCCTTTTCTTGCAGAAGCTGTAAATATTGAAAGCAAATAGGAGAGGGAACAGTACTTTTAATGATGGTTATATAAGAATAAAATTTTATTGACTTAAAACAATGAGATTTTGACATGAATAATTAGCACAAGTATCAGAAAAGACTGTTGGTTCAATTTAACAAATAAATAATTATTCTGGGCAGGAAACAAGTACTGCGTGAATCAGACCTGGTCTGAGCATTCTAATAGAGGTGGGGCAGAGAACATATGCACAGTGTAATATAAAATCATTTGTATTAAAGGCTATAAGAGGTAAAATATTTGTGGGATTCGTAGGATGCAGAGTCCTGTCCTGACTCCTGCATAACTGAGGACAGCTAGGACTTGACAAAATATTAAAAACCTATGCTTGAAGGCACTGGAGAAATACCAAATTAGTGAGGTATCGCCAGATCAAGATCCAAGAGAAGGTAGAAACTTAGAGAGCTTAACCTGGCATTTGGTGGGTGCATGTCTTTCAGATAAAGGCAGCTAAAAGGCAGAGCAGTTTCTGATAGCCTTGCAGGGCTTAGGGGACCTACCGGGACAAAAGTGTTGGAGCTCAGGGTCTGCCTTATTCTTTGGGCTGTCAAAGTGGATTGAGACCCAGCCTTGGGTGAGGTATAAAGGTGAAACAGAAGTAAACCAGTCCTTGCACGTGTTACTGTGTGGCTGCAAGGTCTTTGTGTGACCTAGGAAATCTCAAGCTAAAATTGGATCAAAGTGATCTTAGAATACAGGCCCCCATAGGCACTTGGCAGAAGCAAGTGTAATCCTAAGTCTCTAATGATTCCACAAATGGTTTTAAAAATAGTGTCCAGCCCTGGACGGTGTAGCTCAGTTCATTGGAGTATCGTCCCGTGCACCAAAAGGCCTTGGGTTCGACTCCAGTCAGGGTACATCCCTAAGTTGCGGGTTTGATCCCCTGCTGGAGCCCATGCAGGAGGCAGCCAGGCAATGTATCTTTCTCACATCGATGTTTCTCTCTCTCTTCCCCTCCATCTCTGGAATTAATAAAATAAAATTTAGAAAATAAAAATAAAAATATAATGTCTAGCACACAATCAAAGATAAAGAGGTGTATGACCAGATAAAGCAACATGTACAAAAACTAGCAGAAATAATAAGTAGACATAGTCCCACAGGTGTTTCAAATGTTCAGATTGTTAAGCATGAAGTTTAACATAACTATGCTTATTATATTCAAAAAGTAAAAAAATAAGATTTTAAAATGTTGGAGAGGACTGGAAATTATAAAAAGTGACAAAACAGATTTGGAAAATAACCCAATAGAAGTTCTCACCCTGACAAACCCCAAACCAAAATTAAAAACTTAGTATTAGGGCTTAGCAGCAGGATAGATCCAGCTGAAGAGAGAATTAAATAACTATAGGGATAGGTTACCAGAAAATATTAAAATGAAGTACAGAAGAGGCAAATGGTATTGGAGCAACTGGTCATCCACATGCACAGAAATGAATCTAGATACTGTCCTTATAGCCTTCACAAAAATTAACTCAAAGTGGATCATAGACCTAAATATAAAATACAGAATTATAAACTGCTAGAAGATAAAATAGGAGAAATCTAGAAGACCTGGGGGTTGGGGATGATTTTTAGATACAACACCAAAAGCATGATCCGTAAAATTAAAATTGATTAGTGGGATTTGTTTAAACTTTTGCTCTACAAAAACAGTGTTAAGAGAATGAAAAGGAGGTCACAGCCTGGGGAAAAATATTTGTAAAACACAACTGCTAAAGCGGTGTTATCCAGCATATTCGAAGAACTCTTAGAACTCAACAGTAAGAAAATGAATTTTCCAATTTAAAAATGGGAAAAAGACAGAAATAGCAGCCTCACCAAAGAAGATACGCAAATGGCAAATATATACATGAAAGCATTCAACATTATATGTCATTAGGGAATTGCACATTACAACAGCAATGACATATCACTACACACCTATTAGAATGACTAAAATCCAGAAATCTGACTAGCAAAGCTTGTGAGGATGTGAAGTACAGGAATTCTCATTTGTTGCTGGTTATAATGAAAAGTGGTGTAGCCACTTTGCAACATAGCTTTGAAGTTTCTTACAGTGCTAAACATATCCTTATGTGACCACCGAGCAATCACGCTTCTAGGTATTTACCCAAATGAGCTGAAAACCCGGTCCACACAAAAAGCTGCACATGAGAATTTACAGCGGCTTCATTCATAAGTGCCCCAGACTGGAAGCAACCGAGATGTCCTTCAGTAAGGGAACGGATAAACAAACGGTGGTACATCCCTACAGCAGAGTAGTGTATGAGCTATCAAGCCACGAATGACGTGAAGGAACCTTAAGTGCAAATTGCTAAGTGAAAGAAGCCAGTCCGAAAAGGCTACATACGCTATGATTCAAACTTACATGACACTCTAGAAAAGGCAAAACTATAAAAAAAAATTAGTGGTTTACCTGGGGCAGTGCTCATAGCACATGGCAGCTACACAATCACTGTTGAATGAATGAAGAAAGGAAAGAAAGATCTGCTAGAGCAGAAGGACATTCACCAGTTTAGCAGAAAGAAGGGTGAAGTCCAGCTACATTATTAAGTTACCTTCACTGATGGACAGAGGCACTTAACTGGGACCAAGCCAGAGGACATCCTCTCCCCCCCATCCCCTCCTCCCTTTCTCTCCCTCCCCTTCTTCTCCTTCTCCCTCTCCTCCCCCTCCTATTCCTTTTTT